GGTCATTTAACCAACTTTTGGTGTTTTTGGCAGTGTGGGCAGGTGCCAAATCCTGCTGGAAAATGAAATCAGCATCTCCAAAATGCTGGTCAGCAGAAGGAAGCGTGAAGTTCTCTAAAATGTTTTGGTAAACGGGTGCAGCGACTGTGGTTTTCAAAAAACACAGTGGACCAACACCAGCAGATGACAGTGCACCCCAAACCATCACAGACTGTGGTAACTTAAAACTGGACTTCAAACAACTTGGGCTATGAGCTTCTCCATCCTTCCTCCAGACTCTAGGACCTTGGTTTCCAAATGAAATACAAAGCTTGCTCTCATCTGAAAAGAGGACTTTGGACCACTGGACAACAGACCAGTTCTTCTTCTCCTTAGTCTAGCTAAGACACCTCTGATGTTGTCTGTGGTTCAGGAGTAGCTTGACAAGAGGAATAGGAATGGAATGGAATACGACAACTGTAGCCAAATTCCTTGACATGGCGGTGTGTGGTGGCCCTTTATGCCTTGACCCCAGCCTCAGTCCTTGTGAAGTTCACCCAAATTCTTGAATCGATTTTGCTTGACAAGCCTCTCAAGGCTGCGGTTCTCTCAGTTGGTTGTATTGTCAAGAGGAAAATGAAAAATGAGAGACCAAATAATGCAGATGAGCTGAAGGCCACTGTCAAAGAAACCTGGGCTTCCATACCACCTCAGCAGTGCCACAGACTGATCACCTCCATGCCACGCCGAATTGAGGCAGTAATTAAAGCAAAGGGAGCCCCTGCCAAGTATTGAGTACATATACAGTAAAAGAACATACTTTCCAGAAGGCCAGCAATTCACAAAAAATGTTTTTTATAGGTCTTATGAGGTATTCTAATTTATTGAGATAGTGAATTGGTGGGTTTTTGTTAAATGTGAGCAAAATCATCACAATTAAAAGACCCAGTGGCTTAAACTACTTCAGTCTGTGTGGACTGAATTTATATAATACACGAGTTTCACTATTTGAGATGAATTACTGAAATAAATGGACTTTTCCACAATATTCTCATTTATTGAGCTGCACCTGTAGGACACAAACTCTGAGAGCAGAAAAACTGTTAATGTCAAATATCAATTTGTTAAGACAATCTAAATCCAACTGACTTCACAACACAAGATTTAAACACTAATCAGTAAGTAACCTTTAGTAAAAGCTATGTAGATTATGTTTCATTCAAGCTTTGTGAGACCGACTGATCAGTCCATCTTAGCATCACCGCAGCACTTGAAGGTCCATGAGGGAGTAGCCGAGAGAAGGTATGTTGTACCATCTTTTATTTTACCAGGGGAGCATGACATTGTTCTACAGTGGTGTCACAAAACCTCTTAGGAAGGAGAATGGGTAAATGATCAAGAGAGGCCACTATTTGTTTCCTGTTTCTTACCAACAGTCATTGTGGATTTCTTTTAACACTGCCTGCTATCTTCCCCTAAGCTTATGAGTACTGATTACCATTTGGTGACATTTCTTGTGCATAAAGGTTATTATAAATGTGGATATGGGGTAGTTTATATGGTTATAGCTGTATTTGTCTGTTAAATGACAAGCACTCTGAGTAACATTAGAATTCAAGATAGTAGAGAGTTAGGGTGAGAATACAATATCAAGGCCTCATCCCAAACCACAGAACTACATAATCAGTGTAAAGTCCTGAGGCCACTGTTCTAAGCAGTCTCTCCCTCCTGACTACATGGTCAGAGATGTTAGATTCTTACATGAACTGGATCCTGTTTAAATTAACATCTTATCAACCCAAGGACAATAGGTACCATCCTTAGAATCAGTGCATGTGAAATGAGTGCAGTGAAGCATCCTTGACTTTTCTGCTCAGCTATACATATTAATGTTAATCCATCCCACAGTACTTCCATTACCCCTAACGTCTCAGTGAAGCCCTGGATAGATTTAAATATGCATGACTGCTTGCAGAGATCACTAAGGAGAGAAACTTTTCTTCTTTCATGTAATGACGTACTGTCAACCTGTACTGTTTACATTCTCAGTTTGCACACTGACTGTTGACTGCTGCACATGCTGCTCCCATGCAGCATACATTCTTTGTTATATTCTTATATATTTTTATTATATCTCTTCATTTGCTGCTTAAAGCGCCTTAGATTTTGTGTTACTTATTTATCTACTTTATATTTCATTTGTATTTTGTGGCATTCATGTGGACGGCAAAGTAAGAATTTCATTGTACAGGGAAACACGTTTCCTAACTGTGCATATGACAAATAAACACTTTGACCTTGACTAGAGTCCAGTTACATGCTTGTCAGAAACAGTGGAGACGACTGAGAGCCTCCCTCCCCTTCTGCTACATGTATTCATAACTCACTCTCCACCCTGTCTGAATGTCGCAACACAAATATTTCCTTTTTTCATTTTCAATGATCATTTGCTTTATTTCAGCATATAGGATGAAAAACAGCTATAAGTAGCTGTCATAAACTAAAATTAGCCGTATGCACAGTAAAGCTATCTCTGTTATGTTACAGCTACAATATGCATACCACAGAAATCTAGCTGAAAACAGCTTAAAGGTAAATCAAGGGGAGATGTGTGTCCAATCCAATTGAAGATTTGGAGAGAAACAAGCAGGAACAACAAATGACCCCAAAGAAAGGCAATAATGACATGTAGAGAGTGAAAGATGGAAAGCGAAGTTGGAGGCCCAAAATCTTTCCAATTCAGAATGTTTGGTTGGTCATTTAGAAATGCAGAGCAGGCACAAAACATCAACCAGTAGTGCCTGGTTGCACAAAACATCTCACCTACCCAAGCATTACAGTTCCAGAAACACATCCAGTGAAGTAGAAAGGTAGAGTACAAATAATGGGTAACCCCTTACTGTCCAGCAGAAATGACAGCACGGTCTTCACCAGGCTGACTGGCAGCAGAAATGTGCTGGACAACAATAGTCTTGCTTTCAGTAACCACAGTAAGTGTGGATCGACACATTTTAAGTCTCTGCTGCTTGAGACAAGTGAGTGACAGACCTGCAGTAAATGTTGTGATAACAGTATTGTGGAGATTGTCTGTCCATCATTTCTACAGTGAGAGCAGTCATGTGTACCATTTTTGTTTTATTGTTTTGTTTGTTTTTTGATACAATGGATCATGGAATCCTCATCTCGCTTGGAGCAGTGTATACAGTAAGATTTCAAGGTACTGTTCTTAACTGGTTCAGATCTTATCTCACCAATAGAAGTTTTTCCTGTTAATATTGGTAACTGTTGCTCCTCTGTCCCCAATGGGTCTGTACTCAGCCCAACTCTCTTTTCCCTGTACATGCTTCCGCTGGGATCAGTTCTAAGGAAATATGGCGTCTCCTTTCATTGTTATGCGGATGACATCCAGATATATTTACCATTAAAAGCAGCCAGAGGGACGTCTCTACAGCCATTGTTTGACTTTTTGACAGACTTGAAAGCATGGCTGGTGCTCAACTTTCCTAAATTTAATGCGGATAAAACTGAGTGTGTTTTATTTGGCAATCTAGCAAAGTTTGTTTCTTTTAACCATGACTTAGGCGCCCTGGCTCATCATCTGAAGATGACTGTAAAAAACCTAGGGGTAATGTTTGACAATGACTTAAGGATTGACAAGCAGATCAACTCAGTATTAAAATCTAGTTTCTTCCATCTGAGGCTGTTAAGTAAAGTCAAGTCATTTCTTTCTTTTAATGATTTTGAGATTGTAATCCATGCTTTTATAACCTCTAGATTTGACCGTTGCAATGCATTATACCTTGGTGTTAATCTCTGACTTGTCTCTGCTGAGGAAGGCAGATGTTTTTAAAGTGCTATATACAGTAAATAAATTTTGATTTGATAAATGTAGTCACATCAGTGACTGATCAGACAGCACAGTGGTTAGAGCTGTCACCTCACAGCAAGTTGCTCCTGGTGATGTTACGAGGGCATGATTGTGTGAGTGCTTGGGAGTGTGAATGGCCAAATAGTGTGAAAGTGCTTTAAGTGTGCTGCAATGCATCAAAAAGCGCTATACAAATAAAAAAACAATTTACAAAAAAATCAAGCTAAAATATCATGAATACAGTGGCTGCCATCTTGGCATTTGGCAACCAGTTTCTGTGTAGTAGTGCTTGACTAGTTGAGCAACATATCAGGCCCGTTCCAAGCTGTCATATCATCTGAAATAAATCACTTTTTATATGATCAAATAGTCACTTTTGGCTTTTCCCGTTTTAGGGGTCGCCACAGCCAATTGTCACACTGACAACTCA